TTTTTTTTTTTTTTTTTAAGGTTTTATTTATTTATTTGACAGAAAGAAGGAGAGATCATAGGTAGGCAGAGAGGCAGGGGTGGGGAGGTGGGGGGGTGGAGCAGGCTCCTGCAGAGAGCCCGATGCTGGGCTGCTGAAGGCAGAGGCTTAACCCACTGAGCTACCCAGGCGCCCCGAATTCTCATGTTCTTTAGAGAATTAGGCTTCTGCCTGGGAATATAGTTTCATCCAGTGTGTGGGGACTGGGGGTAGATCCCACCTGGATATCGCCCCTTTGCTGTGTAGCTTATCAGCCAGTCCTTCTGTTTTCAGTTCTTTGCCTCACCTCCATCTTGAATACTTTATGCACTAATCTTCAGGCCTCTGAGATTCTGCAGGGCTTTCCTTCCGTATTTCCTTCTGCAGTTCTTTTTGCCTCTTTGCTAGTAAGTAAGTCATTTACAAATCCCTTCCTGTATGCTTCATTGCTTGAAATCTTGGGTCTTGTTCATTTCTCCCCTAGCTCCCTCTGTCCTTGTGGCATATTTCTTTAAAATATGCAATTTTTGACGTGGAGAGGAAATAATGTATAACCCTGTTTTCATAAGGAGAGATTTTAAATGTTTGACTCCAGTAGTTTTGTTCCCTGCATCAATTCTTCTGATTGCAGCATGCATAGTAATTTTAAATGTCTTGAAGATAAAAACGGCATGAGAGATACTGGAGTGTCACCCCTCTGCTTACATACCTATTGAATTTCATAACATAAAATTGCTTCAGGACAGCCTAAGTGCTTGTGTGTACACCCACTTAAACCATTCCCCAGCTCTGTGTAACTTAGATCCTCATTACTTACTGTTTTTAAGAGGGAGAATTGTTTAAGTTTTAAACATGACTTTTAAATTGTTCCTTAAGGAATCATAGTATCTTGTCTGTGGTCTGGCCATAAAGTATTTGTAAAAGTTATGATGGAATTTCTGTTACTGCTATCTGTTGATAACTTCAGTAGCTAATATTAATGTGTGCCATGTCATGAAATACTTTACATGGGTAATATCATACATCATCTTTACAACAAGGCTGTTTTCCCCAGTAGATTGTGGTCTTTTATATAAAGTTGACTCTTGAACAACATGGATTTGAACTGATACGGTCCACTTATGCAGATTTTTTTTCAATAAATATAGTACTGTAAATGTAGTTTCCTAACATGATTTTCTTAACATTTTCTTCAGCTTTATATAGTAAGAATAAAATATATAATACATATACAAAATATATGTTACATGTTTATTTTCTTGGTAAGGCTTCAGTCAGTAGTAGGCTATTAGAAGTTAAGTTTTGGGGGAGTCAAAAGTTATATGTGGATTTTTAACTACATGGGGTGTGGAAAAGGTTGGTTCCCCTAACCCCCATGTAGTCTGGGAGTCCACTGTAATGAGGTTTTAAGCCTATTTCATAGCTGTTTAAAAATTATACCTGTTCCTTATTTATTGAGTATGGGGTCTCCCTTAATCTAGTTAATTTTGTTTCAAATCTCTTATAGGCCTATTATTTATCTAATTAGTGTGTTGATTTCTGACAATAGAATTACAGTTTTGATCTTTCCTTTTGGGCTTTAATTTTTTTTAATTTTTAATTTTTTAATTTTTTAAAATTTCCTATTTAAAACTAAGTGGAGTTTTTAGGAAACACTAAGTTTATTATGATTAAAATTTTAACACAATGTATTCAATTCCAGGTAGTGCATATACTTAACTAGTTTTCACATACTCAGTTTTTTCATCAGTTTTATCAAGGCATACGATAACATTCACCAAATAAAATTTAAGTGTGTAATTCAGTAAGTTTTGGTAATGTGTAAGGTCCTGTAACTACTATTATAATCAATCAAGATACAGAACATTTCTTTTATCCCAAGAATTCCTCCATGCCCTTTGCAGTCAGTTCCTATGCACTCCACTACCTCTAGGTAATCACTGATCTCATTTCTGTTCTAGTTTTGCTTTTTCCAAAAAGTCTTTAAAATGAAAATGTCCTAAAATAAAAGGCTTTTGTCCCTTACTTTTTCAGTTAGCATAATGCTTTTGAGATTCATCCAGATTGTTACTTTTTTTTACAGAATGTAATAATCTATTATATTGATATACCATAACTTGTTTATCCTTCATCAGTTGGTAGACACTTAGGTTACGAGTTGGGCTTTTAAGAATACAGCTGCTATGAGTTCATGGACAGGACTTTGTGAAGACATCTATCTGGATTTCTCCTGAGTCAGCACCTAAGAGTGGGACTTTATAAGAAATCAACAGGCTGTCTTTTCTGGGTTTTTTGGTTTGTTTTTTTTTTTTAAGCCATTTTCTAAAATGACTACCACTTTGCATTCCCATCAGCAATGTATGAGATTTCCAGTTGGCCTTTATCAGCACTTGGCTTTCTCATTCTTTTTAGTTTTCACCATTAATAGATGTATCGTTACAGCTCATTGTGGTTGTTTGCCTTTCCCTGATAAATGATTTGGAAAAAAATCTTTCAGGGTTTATTTGCATCCATATGCATATGAATTTCTCTGTTTTTATGTTGTATTTTTCACTTTTTTGCATAAAATTTGTTTCAGTTTTATTTTCTTGATGGCATGTACTGTTCTATCAGTATGAAATACTTATGTATTTTATATATAAAAGTTCTAAATTTTGTATATTTATAAATAATTTGTTCTAAATTTTATTGGGCATAATAACATTGCCATGCTGCTTTTTTTTACTATGTGATACGCACGTACACTTTTTTTTTTTTTTTTTTTTAATTATAGAGGTAGAATTGTTTAGTGTATTTCTGTGGTGGGCTGCTTTTCTTTTTCTTCCTTTCATGCCCATTTGGAGGTTCAGGTTACTTCTGATTTAGTCTACTTTTCGCTTTGACTCTTTGGTAAGGGGTCTCCTGATTTTCCTCTGGTTAGAAAGCAGTTCTCAAGGTTTCACGAGGTTTCACTGGGTTGTTATTAGTGCTTTAAGAGAAAATTATTTCCCATTCTTGCATTTAAAAAGAATAATTACTGGGGTGCCTGGGTGGCTCAGTGGGTTGAAGCCTCTGCCTTCGGTTCAGGTCATGATCCCAGGGTCTTGGGATCGAGCCCCGCATCGGGCTCTCTGCTCGGCAGGGAGCCTGCTTCCCTTCCTCTCTCTCTGCCTGTTTCTCTGCCTACTTGTGATCTCTGTCTGTCAAATAAACAAATAAAATCTTTAAAAAAAAAAAAAAAGAATAATTACTCAGCCTATCTCTTACAAATTCCTTGAAAAAGTTTAAATGATGTCATTTGTTTAGAGCTTTTGTTTTGTGTTGATGATCAGTTTTTGTATTTAAATTGGATTCCTCTAACTAAGCTTATCTGCTTTGTACAGATTTCTACATGTGGGCCTAATCCACTGATTTTGAGTTATAAATATCATTTTTTGTAGGCAGAACACTTCTGAGTATTTGAATATTTAAAATAGGAAACATGATTATCCATCAGTGGTTAATTTTTATTGCTCTGAAGACCATAGCTTGAGTTTTGAAAGATAGAGGAGTTTGAGGGATAGGATATACTTCAGATAGTGACCTAGGTGTCAACAGCCGCAAATAATATCTGGCAAGGAGCACCAAATAAACCCTTAGGATACTATTTAAAACTATGATGTGACTTCCCAGTAAATTATTAAGCTCAGTTCTTTTTAGCTACTAAAGGTGTATGCAGTCAAATAAACATTAAAATTGTTTAGTCTTTTAAAATAAAAAATCTTAACATTTTAGTACCTTGGTGAAGCCCTAGTTTCCCATTCATTATACAGTCTAAATGTGTGTAATAATTTATGGAGTAAGTAGATTTGTTCCTTTCATTTTTTTCGTAGATGTGGTGGTACAGTAGGAGCTATTCTGACATGTCCATTGGAAGTTGTAAAAACACGGCTGCAGTCATCTTCTGTGACGCTTTATATCTCTGAAGTTCAGTTGAACACCATGGCTGGAGCCAGTGTCAACCGTGTAGTGTCTCCCGGACCTCTCCACTGCCTAAAGTGAGGCACAATTTTCGTGAATTTGTTTTTTTTTTTTTAGTCTGTTTACCTTAATGATAGCCATGTGTTTTGTTTGTTTATATTCTGCCACATTTTAAGAAGCTTTTTTACAAACTTATTAACAGAGTTACTCTGAATTATATTCATCAGAAATGATAATCCCTAATGGAGAGGAACAGTTAATTGGATGATATAAAATGTAATGTTATTTCCAAATCATGTGTATTTGGATTATTTTTCTATATTTATTCAATGGATTTGTTTTCTGAAGGTATTCTAGGTGTCCTATTTGGATCATTTATTTGTCTTTGAAATGTGATAGTATTAAATCCCAACTCTTTCTGTGTGTTTTTTAATTTTCCACGTATTGACACAGTTAGTACAACCACTTAATGGCAATCTGTGATTTTTATGTAACCTAAACATAACTGAAATTTAAAGCAGTGTTCTACTGATTTTAAGAGGTGATTCAGTGTTTGTTTGACATTTCTTGGTGGTTTGAAAAAGATTTTGTTTTTACATTTTACCATACTTCATTATATTGCACATTGGATTTAAAATTTCAAAACTATTGAGATTACGTTTTATGTGTTCAAACTTAGGTATGTAACTTGTATCTGCCTTATCAGGTCACTTGGTACATAATCTATTTGAACTTAGTTCAGTAGTATTTATTTTGTGGCAGCAAATAAACTCAATACTGAGTGTTTACCTTAGTTACCAAGAGTTCATCAGTCTTTTCTTTTTTCAGTTTTCCTATTACATGGTAGGTAGAATAAAATTGTTAACAATTTTGGATGAAAATGCTGTAATTATAGGGTGCCTGAGTGGCTCAGTCAGTTGAACATCTGCCTTCGGCTCAGATCATGATCCCTGGGTCCTGGGATTGAGTCCCAGGTTGGGCTCCCTGCTGAGCAGGGAGCCTGCTTCTCCCTCTCCCTATGTGCCTCCTCCAGGCTGTACACTCTCTCACTCACTCTCTGTATCTCAAATAAATAAAATCTTTAAAAATAAATAAATAAAATGCCATAATTACAGGGGCACCTGGGTGCCTCTGTCAGTTAAGCATCTGACTCTTGATTTCGGCTCAGGTCATGATCTCAGCGTTGTGAGATACAGCCCTTTGATGGGCTCCGTGCTGGATGTGGAGACTACTTAAGAGTCTCTCTCTCTCCCTTTGCCCCTCTCCCCTTCTTAAATAAATAAATAAATAAAATGCTGTAATTATAGATGAGTATCTGATACGAATATTATCAATCAGATTAATAATATCTTGGCAAAAATAGAATATTTTACTAATTAATAATAGGTCATCTCAGTATCATGATTTTGTCTTTTATTACCACTATTACGTCTCCTGAACGTCTTTCTTTGATCTTTGCGACAGTACCGTATATATTTTTTTATTTATTTAAGAGCCAGCAGGAGTGTATGCAAGCAGAGGGAGGGGCAGATGCGGAGGAAGAGGAACAAGCAGGCTCTGAGATGAGTGCACGGCCACTGTGGGGCTCAGATCTCACGACCCTGAGATCATGACCTGAGCTGAAATCAAGTCAGATGCCTAACCACCTGAGACACCCAGGCTCCCCACAGTAGTATTATATTTTTTATTCTTTTTTATATTTTTCAGTGGTTTTGCCTTCTGACTTTTCTCAGCAGTAGTAGGAATCCCTCTCAGCTTCGTTTTAATTTCTCAGTTTTTCTGGCCCTCTGTTAAGAGTCAGTTTAACATGTGTCACCTGTCATTAGTATATAGGTGACTTCTAAGTTTGCATTCTCTGCCTTAATGCCTTTTTACTCATTCCCTTTGATTCCCTACTCAGGGGCTCTGTCCAAAGCAATCTGTTTCATGGCTTTTTTTTTCCCCCCAACATCTTTATTTGAGGTACAAGTTACGTACCATAAAATTAACCCATGTAAAGTATACAATTTGTTTGTTTTTAGTATATCCAGAGAATTGTGCGACCATTATCACCTTCCAAATTTCAAACATTTCCATCATCATCACTAAATAAACCTTTATCTGTTAACAGTCATTTCTCATTTTCTCCCTTCTCTCTCCTTCCATCCCCTAGCTCTAGGCAACTATAATCTGCTTTCTATCACTATACATTTGCTTATTATGGACATTCTATATAAATGGAATTATATAATACACACTTTTGTGATTGGTTTTTTTCACTTAGCATGTTTTCAAGGTTGATCCATGTTGTAACAGTATCTTTTTATTGTCAAGTATTGCTTTATATGGATATATAACACATTTTGTATATCCACTCATCAGTTGATAGACATTGGTTTGTTTCCACTTTGCAGTATTCTGAATGATGCTATTATAGAGATGTATGTTTTCATTTTGGGAGGGATATGCTAGGAGCAGAGTTGCTAGGTCATACAATAACTTGTAACATTTTGAGGAACTATAACACTGTTTTCCAAAGTGGCTGCATCATTTTACATTCCTACCACCATTGAATGAAATTTTCAGTTTCTGCACTGCCTTACCAACCCCGGTTTTTTGTTTTTGTTTTTTAAGTAGGCTCCATCAACTCAGGGCTAAAGCCACCCAGGCACCCCCACCAACCCTTGTTGTACTATGTCTGACTTTTTTATTATAACCATTCTAGTGAGTGAAGCATTTCATGGCTTACCCATGAACTTTAGAAATCCCTCCCCGCTGCCCCCCACTGGGCTCTTGGTTTCCTAGGTGGGTCATGGGTGAACTTCAGGAGGTCTATAAATTACATGAAATTGTATGCAGAATTGTGTTTGCAAATGTATATATTGTTTTAAAGATCTTACTTATTTATTTATTTATTTGAGAGAGAGTGCACGAGTGTATGTGGGAAGGGGAGAGGGAGAGAATCTGAAGCAAATTTCCTGCGGAGCACAGAGCCCAATGTGACCCAGTCCCATGATCCTGAGACCATGACCCGAGCTGAAACCAAGAATCAGACACCTAACCAGCTGAGCCATCCAGGCACCCCAATAAATGTTTTTTTTTTTTTAAAGAATATTTACCTTTCTTAATTTTTCAGCAAGACTTAGGATAACAGAAAAGGCTAACAAACACTGAATCTTCAAAATGTTCTCCATTATTTGTTATTTTGAACTCTGCTTCTGTCTAATCTAGTTTTATCAGATGTGGTTCTATATCACTGTGTCAGTCATCTGGAAACATGGTAAAAATGCAAATTACTGAGCAGTGTCCTATACCTATTGAGTCAGAATACTTGGAGGGTAAGATCAGAGAAATAAGCATTTTAAACAAATGCTCATAATATAAAGGTTTATCGAGTACTTACTGGAAGCCAGATCTCTTTTAAGTTCTTCATATGTTTGTTTATTTATTCCTCACAGCAACTCAAAAAAAGAGTACTGTTTTTCTCTGTTTACTGCTGATGAAAATAAGGATAAGAGAAAAGTTACTACTTACGTTCTTACAGCGAGTGATTTACAAAAATTGGTCTCCTTATTAAGAAGTCTGGCCCCATATCTCAGGTCCTTATTTAACCATTATGCTCAACAGTCTTTAAAGAAATCATCTTAAGCACATAGGTGGTTAAGAACCACTGCCCTAGCCTGTTAACTCTAGGTTAAAATACTTTCTCCAGTTTCTGTTTCTTCTCACTTCCAAGCTTAATTAATAACTCACTCTCAGAAAGCCTTCCAGGGCTTAGACATGCCTCTTCCTTTCTCTGCTGGGCATATGTATCTAGCTTGTATAGTATTTGCTTATTAATATAGTCTGTTGAATTATTTGTTTCAGTGTAATTCTTTTTTCCGCAGTGTACATCAGATTTCTCATTAGCAGGTGTCTCACCTTTTCTGTCTTTTTACTCTGCTTAGTTTTTATGCAGTAAGTATTCAGTATAGTAAATGTTAACTAAATAAAGGGGGATATGGTAACTGGCTAACTATTTTGGTACCCTAAAGGAGGTTAGGTTGCCAGATTTTGACAGCATTTCATTGGAATGATTGAATGAGGTAATGCTGCATTATTGAGAGAGTTGTCTGATTATCAAGAAAGGACCTCAAATACTAGACAGAAAACTGCATTTTTTATCGGAAACTGAATTTGCTGGTAAAGATTATAAAATGGAGGATATTGAAGATAATCATGTTCATACAAGAACATGATTGTATGAAAATGTAGAAATTATACTGTAGTCTTTAAAACTTTTAGAAAAGAATCTGATTAGAATTCTTTTTATTATCATTTAAGATTATCATTTTATGCTGTGTCAAGAAAAACAGATTTTCATAAGTAAGAAAAACTGAGCAGAGCAGCACAACCTTTTAGCAGAGGCTGACAGGTTTAAAAGTCTTAGGTTTGCTATACAAATAAAGTACTAGACTTTGAAGGACATTCCTTTCTAAATAATATTTTTTTCTTTCAGAGTGATCTTGGAAAAAGAAGGGCCTCGTTCCTTGTTCAGAGGATTAGGTCCCAATTTAGTGGGGGTGGCTCCTTCCAGGTAAAAATAATTTTTTTAAGTTAAACAAAATGGTGGCAATCTTTATTGTTTCAAGTTTAATGATGGAAATGCTGAAGAGAAGTCAAGGTGGTAAGGATAAAGCACCATGGTATAAAAACAGGTATCTGGTAACCATGTAAAAGCTTGGGCCGTTTTCCCTGTGTGGCAGCGCAAAGGACCTCTTCGTGAAATCACTGTGGTGCAGTTTTTGAACCAAGTTCAAAAGGCAGAGAATACTAACGGAACCAACAGTGTGAAAGAGGAATACTTAGAGCTCTAGAACTAACCCTGTTTTTTGGCTTAGAGGACAAGCTAGACAGAATAATTTCATTACCTATGAAATTATTAAATTTCATACCTATTAAAAGAGCCAAAAAGGCCCTATTAATACATTAATTTGTCATTTTTCTTTGATACCTTTTTATCTTAGATTTACTGCTTCTGTAATAAAATACTATAGAGTTCCCATTCAGAGTGAAAATGGCTCTCTGTATCCCATGTACTGGATACATGTCTTATTATTTATTGGTTTTCAAGTTTTTGTGGGCTTTTTTCTCTCTTGAAAAATTATCTGTTGGGGGAGATGGCACCTGGGTGGCTCAGTCTTTAAGCGTCTGCCTTCAGCTCAGGTCATGATCTCTGGGTCTTGGGATCGAACCCCTCATCCGGCTCCCTTGGCAGAGAGCCTGCTTCTCCCTCTCCTACTCCTCCTGCTTGTGTTCCTGCTCCCTCTGTCAAATAAATAAATAAAATCTTTCAAAAAAATTTTTATTTTGGGACACCTGAGTGGCTCAGTTGGTTAAACGTCGGACTCTTGGTTTCACCTCGGGTTGTGATATCAGAGTCGTGAGTTGGAGCCTGGCTTGGGGCTCCATGCTCAGTGTGGAGTCTACTCGAGAGTCTTTACCTCTGTCCTCCCTCCCGCTCTGCTCCTCATCCCCCATTTGCGTGCTTGTGCACTCAACTGCACATGTGCACGCTCTCTCTCAAATAAATCTTAAAAAAAAATTATCCTTACCGTAAAAATTAAAAATGTGTAGCATAAAGGCTGACATTCCATCTTTTTTTTTTTTTTTTTCTGACATTCCATCTTAAACACATTACCCCTCATGCTATATGCCTTCTCAGAGGCACTTACTCGTCTCCGCACAGATAAATGTTATTAATAAAAGTTTGGCGTGTATAGTCTTCTTTTAATTTTTCTGGCTTATTTTGTAGGTAAAATGCATATCATGTATACTTAATTATTGTTTACATTCATTTAATCGTATTAAAATATTTCACCAAATTTGTCTTGAAGCTTTTTCCATCAAAATACGTAGTTTTTGTTTAATCACATAGTGTGGCGACTCTATCATTAATAAGCATTCCCTTATTGATAAACATTTAGGTGTATTTCCACATTTTGTCTGTTGAAAGCAGTAGTTTTGTGAACACAGCTATATTCTTATGTTTACTTAAGCAAGTGTATTTCTTTAGAATAGTTACTTGTAAATAGAATTTCTGTATAAAAGAGCATATACACATTTGAAATTAATATTACTCAATTGCCTTCTGAAAGGCAATTTTTTTTATTCTCAAGTAGTGGATTAATTGCTCTTTATCACATATTATTCATGTTGGTCACTATTCATGTCTTTTAATACTAGTCAAATAGACTAAACATGATTTTCACTTTTTTTTTTCTTTTAAGATTTTATTTATTTATTAAGAGAGCGAACACAAGCAGGGTGGGGAGGGAGGGTCAGAGAGAGGGGAAAAGCCAGCTCCCCACTAAGCAGGGAGCCCAGCATGGGGCCCCGTCCCAAGACCCCGAGATTACAACCTGAGCCAAAGGCAGACACTTAACCAGCTGAGCCACCCAGGTGCCCCATGCTTTAATACACATTTGTTTAATTTTGGGTGCAGTCACACCTTCTTCTAATGATTTTCCATTTGTGTATCTCTACTGTGAATTACCTTATATATTCGTTGCTTATCGTCTCATTAAAAGGTCTTTCTTACTTATTTCTAGGAATGTGCTATTTATACCTCTTCACAATTCGTCATTAAATGTATTCTATTTGTTTTTCTTGCTGATAATGTAGTATGTTTCATTTTAAATTATATTAACTTTGCATTTTTCTTCAGCACATTAAAAAAGGCACAGCAGTGAGACTGTCCTCATTTGTGCTTTTGCCTGTTATGTTGGGAAATAAAAGGATTTGATACTGCAAGCAAATAATTCAAAGCCTGGAAAGCTAAACAATGAGGAGGTGGTGGGGATGCATGAAATCATAGTCAATAAGTTAAGAGGGGAAGTATTTACAGATGTAATGGAATGTTTATAAACATAGAAGACATGACCTGATGGGGCTCATTTCTTCTGGAATTATTTTGTCTGTTTAAGGATACTGTGAACTACTCTGTATAATATAGATTAGAATATACCATGGTATCTCAGAATTGTTTGATATACTTTGATGAATTGGGTCAGTTCTACGACCCTCTCCCCACTTAAAAAATATTATATATTAATAGTAATATCTTTATATTAATATCAGCTAATCATAATAATTATATATTTAGCAATTTTTAAAGTGCTTATACCATATTTACTCAAGTGTGTTTAATTTAACCTTACCATTACTTAAGCCTTCCAGCCTTATTCATGTTTCTAAACATCTCTTATACAAATAGTTTTTATTTCATTCAGTCAGTCAGTTGATGTAAAAGTGTTGGGTCAGGGTGGTAGGTGTCTTTTTGTTGGAGGGTGCTTTACATTTGAGGAACTTTACATTGAGGTTTGTCTTTTAATGAGTCAGTGCAAACTGTACTTCAGAATCTACATGGAAAAAATATGTAAGTTATCCTGATGTTACATGAGAATGTGGCTAAGACTTTGTTTTTAGATTTTTCTAAAATTAGATGAATTTACTTGTCATTTAAATCTTACGAATTATATAACATGCTTATTGATAAAATTTAAATCTTTATTTTAGAGCAATATACTTTGCTGCTTACTCAAACTGCAAGGAAAAGCTGAATGGTGTATTTGATCCGGATTCTACCCAGGTACACATGATTTCAGCTGCAATGGCAGGTATGAATATAAAATATTAAAAAGCAAAAATTTTTCCAAAACCTAGAGACTTAATGTTGAATTATGATTTTACATTATGTAGTTAAGACATTGTGCTTTTCATTGATTAGCATCTACATATATGATTCTTAATATTTATTAGTATTACAGTAAATTTGATCAGAAGGTATACTTAAAATCTGTTTTAAGTTGGCATTTTTGTAATCAGGGGTTTGTGATAGCATACAGGTAGTATAATATTTACATTGAATAGTTAGTGTCCACTGAATAGTTAGTGATCACTTTGACAGTTTAAAGAATCCAACCATAATTACACTATAAATAAGTTATGCAGCTGTAATTTACTCTTCTCTCCTCAATTTCTGTTAGTGCCTTTTCCCTTTTTGCTGCATGTTTTGGCTTCTGTCTGAAATGTGCCGGCAGTTCTTGGTAAAGTATTCATTTTGTCCTGTGCTCAAATGCTGAAATTTTTGTGATGTATTACTGATAACTGAGAGATACTGTAATGTATGTATTTTGAAAAATATGTTTAGCATTCCATATAAATAACACTAGATAATACTTAAATTTAGGCACTGGCTATGTGTACATGCTTGCTATAGAAATGTTTTCCAGGGACTCTTCTATCATTGTTGAGTATATATGATTCTGAATTAACGCAACTAGTTTTGGGCCTCTGTACTGCCTTAAAGATAAGCTAGGAGATTGATTTGACCAGTCTGGTTCTGGAATCATTTGTTGCAATGCGTGTTAGACAAAGCCATGACCTTTGGTTCATTATTTGCAGTTTTCTGAGATTCATCGTATATTTAACTATATGTCACGTTGCCAAATTATGCTATGACTATAAAGCAGATTTTTACTACTTTCATCAACTGTTGAGCCATAAATTGAGTGTCAATTACGTGTTTAATAATGAGTGCCTTAAACTTTTAACCATTTTCTGTTTAGAAATAAATTGGATCAATTTGAACCACATACTTTAACGAACTAAGTGTAAGTTGGAATAACTAATTTCTGAAAGGGTCAATAGCCATATATCTACTATATACCTCACAAATTATTTTCAAGGCTTTTCATATTTGGTAACTGACTGACTCACCAAAGTTTTAAAGCTGAAAGGTAAAAACTTTAGAGGTCAAGGTGGTGAAATAGTCTTATTTATCCATGAGGAGAGATCTTGGGCAAGTTAATGTAATTTATGCAAATTTCCTTTTACCTTATCTTTGGAATGTAGGTTGCTCTACAAAGATTTGGATTTTGAGAATTAGTTCTTTAGTACCATAGAGATCATCTAGTTTTTAACTAGAATTTTTTTAAATTTACTTTTTATAGCTGTTGAATACAGATACGATTTTTCCTCTTCAAATTTGAGTGGGTATAAGGTAAAAATTAGTGGTTAATTTCAAACTATATAACTGCTGTATTAGGATCTTTAAGAATATATTTCTGGACTACCAGTTTTTTAACCCCAGAAAATTATTAAAGAAATGTTAATTTTTTTGTTGTTCATTTTGTCAGACTTGATGTCCAGAAAGTAGATAAGCAGACATTTTTGGTAGAGGATAGTTAATTATATATTCAGTAATGCGAATTTAGGGTTTCAGAATATCTTAATTCCCAGTAGAACATCTTTTTTCATTAGAGTATCTTATCAGAGTTTATTACTATTTTTGTATCATGTGGTAAAGAATTTTCGGTGGAATTGTCATTTTGCACTTTTCTCTCAAGTGTATACAAATGTCAACTCATAGTTTGTTTTTATATTGATAACTATTTTCCAACTTGAATTCCTTGAATTTTTGTAAATTGATGGTCTTAACCTTGCTCAGATTATTGCACTATATACTTACTGTGTAATTTGAAAATACCTCTTTCATGTGTTTGCAGTTACATTTTTCTGAGAATTGTGCTTTCAGAGCTTCCTTGCACTCTTCATGAGCATTAACACTTATTAGCTCTGCAGTTTTTATACATAACTACATTGTTGGTGAAACTGAAAGGTCCCATGCAAAGTCACTAAGGTAGTCTTTTGCCCCCTTCATTCTTGAAATTATCTAGACCAGATTGGTCTGGTTTTTCTTCAGGATCATTTTTAGAAGTCTTTTAATATGAATTGGGGGTGCAAAGTGCTTAGAGGCAGTCATGTGAAAAATCATTTTTTAACTGGCTATTAAAAAAAAATGCTAACCTTGTCACTTTGGTATCAAAAAGTGCACTAAAATAGACTTTAATGATATTGCCTGTAAGATTTTGCCACATCAAACAGCATACACATTAAGGATTTTAGTAACAGACCTTGTACATAATTTTTTTCCAGGTAGCCCATTGATTTTGCATTTTATCCATATGAACCCAAGTGTCTAGGTAATAAACCTTTTGTTAATAAAAAATAGTTTATTTAAAGTGGATCTTACTTTGGTTTGTTGTAGTGTTTCAAGAGAATACTTTAAGAATTATAAACCTAAATTTAGAGGTATAACTGAAAAATTATTTCCAGTTAGAAGGCTATTTAATAAAATTAAGTAATGTTGACTCTGTTTTACCTGCTTTTTTTTCTTCCCTACATGTAACCTTTGTTAGACTGAGAGTATTTGTTTTGTCAAGATTACTTGTATGTTTTTGTTTAAATGAATATATCCTACCCTATTACTAGACACAAATGTACATACAAAAAATAGTATGGTTTCTTTATAGTAATCCCCAGTTTTCAGAAATTTTTATCTGGAAAAAACATATAGACTTTTATATGCAACATAGATTTAAATGAAAACAATTTTGATTTTTATTGGATTATATATTCAAACAGTTATTGCTTAATTTTTAAAATACCAATAATATAATAATTTAACTTTTACTAAATACCTAGAGGGTTTTACTTGCTTATAGCATTCACTGTTATTTTTCAAAATACATTTTTCTGTTTGACTTTAAGTTTATTATAAATATTAAACTTTAAAGGTTAAGTTTTTACTCATTAAAGAGAAATTTTTTCTTGCCTATATAAAATACATTTTTTAATATTTTATTTTCCATGGCAGTTTATTCACCCAAATGGGTGGGTGGACAGATGTTTTGTGTGTTTGTATATAAACATTCTTCCTGTTTTTTATTTTGTAGAACACAAGAAATAAAATACAGAATAATCCAAAATATTCCATAAAATGGATGTGCAATATTATCGGTCATAATGCAAAAGGTGTGAAAGGTATAATTGTACCAACATATACTTTAATTTTTAAAAATTACAGATAATTACAAAATGTTACTCAGAATATTCTAGTTTTTTTGGGTTTTTTTAAAGATTTAAGGAAAAAAAGATTTACTAAGAAGCTGTTAAAGTATAGAAAATTGTGATTTCACCTCTGATCTTGATAGATAATGATTAGGAAAATGAGATATGATGATCCCTTCTAAATATTTTCTTAGACTTGCCATTGACAAGGTTAGCATTTTTTCATTAGGGCAAAATTCGTGTTTTAGGTAAGTATTTGGACTCTGAAACTGCTGCAGATGGCAGAATTTTCAGTACTCGATGCATTTTTTTTTAAATTATGGCCCATTCTGATCTTCCTTTTTGTTTTTTAACTTAAAATTTTCAAAAAAGTTAGATCTCACCGTAAATATTTCTGAAATCCTTCCAATGGGATTCATTTTGTACACATGTTTCTGATGAGGTCACTGCTTGTTGTTATGATACAGAAAAGCCTGTGTCTATTTTAGGCATTTACTGTACATTTCTCCCGAGAAAAGAGTGAGATCGTGTCATCTCATGCTCCCCATCCGCAGGTCACTTCCTGTAGAAATATGGACTAACTTAAACCTCGTGAGTACTGATCTGAGCGTCTCTTGCAGCCTCTAGTTATAAGAAACACACCCTGGGAATTTATAATAGCTGTGGAATTAATAGAAGGCGGGAAATGAACTTTTATTTCCTGAATATATGTGTGTGTGCTGAGTATTTCATAAAACTTTTTAATTCTGATCCCTTTAGAATATTCCTTCTAGAAGGAAGAATGGGGTTTTGAGTCATTGTGTAATAAAAGCCTGGGGTCTTCAGCTTGGCCATAATAGCCTTGACCTCGAAAAAATTTGATGACAATATTTAAGATATACGTAGTTGTAAATGGTATCATACCATCCTACAACTTTTAGGGGAGATAGTAGTTCTCTTTGCTTAGCATAACATATTTTAAAAGTCTAATACAGTGCTTTCCATTCTGTTGTCTGTTTATATTTAGCTTTCTACTTTTCTTGCAAAAACATTGATCTTAATACCTACCATTACTTTACAATAAATGCAGGGTAAGAATATATGGGATCTAAGCTGTTTTAGTTTTAATTGGGTTTTTGTTTTGTTTTTGTGTTTGTTTTGTAGTTTTAATGTATTTCTCTTAGAAGGTTAGGTGGGCTTTGTTCTGCTTACAGAACTTGATGAAGTAAAAAATACTGAAAATGCAAATACAGGTATCACTCACTTAATGAAATAGACATTTTCAGCAAGTTTCCTATAAGCAGGGTTTCTTTTAATCTGGTGTACATTATCGGATGGAGTCTTAGATGAAGCAAAACTTTAAAAGTTGCATTTTGAAAGTTTTAAAAAAATTTTCTAACAAAACTCTAACCGCACTACTATATGGCCAGTACACTGCCACTTTGCTTTTACTGACTAGAGCAATGTTAATCACCTACAAATAGCTCCTTCATATGCCTCTAATTCAGCTTTAATGTTTAACAGAGTGCTCAGAATATTAATATGAACTAGCATTATTATCAAAATACCACAAACTTTAAATGCAAAAATAAAAAGTAATAGTAAATTTCTAACTTCAGGGAAACTATTCCAAGTATCTTTGTATATGTTTATCTTAGAAGTAGGAAGATCTTTTTAGCTTTGGCTCTTGGCCAACTTCAGATTGCCTTGCCAGATTGCCTTGAGTTTTTAATATATAATTAGTGATAAATTTTGGCTTCTTCCCACTTGTTTCATTTCTTGAATTAACAGACTGTATTTTTATAGGATTAATTAGCTTAATAATGTCCAGTTAGTTTATTAGGTAGAGTGTCTGTGGTTGAGAGAATGTAATAGCATAAAATTCTAGGACCAGAGTTTTAACTGTGATAAAGACCAATCACTAAAATGTAGGTTATCCTTAGATTCTCTCTAATGTAGTGGTTTGCTGGCATTTAACCTAGTGTCTTTATTAAAAGCTAGCTTATTGGGAGAGTTGAGCCAGAACAACTGTAGTAAGCACAAGTTACTGGTAGTAACAGTTACAGAGGGATAAGATGACAACACTCGGTTGAATTTTAATGTTTCCTGTCCCATAGATTAATTTGTATTTGGAAAGGAATTTTAGTTAAGTGAGAAATACCTGTTGTTTGCGTCCTGTCACTGTTCATTCATATGTACAGAGGATAATTAAAAGTTTTATTCATGGGATATTTGAAAAATTCATTTCTAGTAATATTTATAAATATTATTGCAGTATTTTAAAGTGTACATATATGGAGTTTTTTAGACTTTAATTGAGGAATTTTGTGACTTGGAAGAGTATTAAGCTTGGGTATTAACTAAGTTTATATTTTTAGAAATAGAACTTCTATTTAAAAAGAAAAACTTTAATGTTCATCTTTTCAAATCAAGTATAATAGATTGAGATTTTTTACCTAGATAGGGCTTTTTGGGTTTGCTTTGTTTTGTTTTGTTTTGTTTTGTTTTTAAAGCTTGGTGTAAGGATTCCCAGTTTTAGGCTTTCAAATTTTAATCAAAAATTTGTTTTCTTAATTTCCACAGGCTAATTAATAAAAACGATTGTGAATAATGTAGAATATTTTGTTGCCTTGTGCTGCTTTGCAGCCTTTCACTAATAGACCCCCTGATACTGCTTTACGGATATTTAACTAATACAGATATTTAAGTCTGAAAAGTCATCAAGTTAGAGGTATAGCCAGAATACTAATGTTTGGTGCACATTTTCTTTAAAATTGAGTGTATTTAGTTTGAGTTTTTCAGTTAAGAAAATGAAGGTGACGGAAAGGAAAAAAATTCTTTAGCTTTATTCTCATTTAAACCAGGACATGCAAGAAAAAATCTTTTCCAAGTAAAATATTTAAATGGATCTAATAATTTCATATTTTTCTTCTCCTTTCCTTTTATCAAGATTTTTATATATGAAAAGAAACTTATTTAAAAATGTTCCTGATAAAATGTCCAGCACTTTAAATTTTTATTATTTTAATACTGGCACATACAAAATTTTTGGTCTAGTACTAGTTTTATACATATGTATGTAGTATTAAAAACACTTGAAAGAAATGGAGACTATAGAACTATTACAAAATAGTGAAAGGAGTCATCAAACCAAATTTTTATTCCATTTATCGTTTCATAAATAGATACAATTTAAGCATCCCTTTGTGAGATATCTGGCTATTTCTGTGGTGTTAAAACAGTGGCTTAAGGAAATAAAATTTGAGTTAGCTAATTATCTGATATTATAGAGGTGCAAAGAACCTGTGAGACCAAATTCTGCTTTGTAAACAATTTAGTAAAATGATTTTGCATTTTAGGTATACCCGTAGTGACTTTGAAAGCCAAGAAACAGTTTTATGATTGGTTCTACACTATATGTTAATTTCAAAAACAAATTATTTTTAAGTGCACCACATCATTTCTCTTCCTGAAATAACTTTACTCATATTCAATGTGCTGGTTATATTCCACCTTTCTAAAAATAATATGTTTCACCTGCCTATTATTTGATAGAAAGTGTTAAAATAGTTAATTTCAGATCCTTAGACATTTCTGCATGTAAGTTTTCACTGAACTTAAAGGCCAATTGAATAAATACAGTTTGATGTAAGTAGTTCTGTGAAGTTTGTGTAGTGATCCTAAAAGTTCACAAGCAATACATTAAAACCCCATTTTGTATAGATGAAGCAGTTTTCATAAATTCCCGTTACCAAGATTGCATTTCGTGTGCTATTTTCCATAACAGTAGGAAGATAGAAAGTAAAAGATACGCACTAGTCTAGAAACAACTGTTCCAGAGATCTTAATTTACCAACTGGAATGAGCCATCTTAGGAGACCACCCTTCTGCACTGATAGTACACAGTACTTAAGTTTTAAAGTAAACCAGAACTACATTCTACTCTAGTTTCCCTCTTCAGTTTCTATAAAAGTGAGAGGAAAGTTCCAGTATGTAACTTCTTGAACTTTTCAGTATTTTATATGGTTAAGTGGATGAGAAATAGATCTGTCCTATTAACCCTAAGAGAAAGCTTACTTCTGTGATACCATTATTTTAACAGTATTAGTAAGAATATGTTCATATAAAGCATTCATAAAGGCAAACAACAGTCCTTGCTGTTATATAGCCAACCTAAGATCAAAAGTAAATGCTGACCTTTAGGTAGAAACCACTTGGAACATAGGATTTGGACCCTAAGTAGCTGTGTAGAGTTTGCATGCTAAAAAGCCCTAGAATACACCAAATTTCTATATATTTGTCTGTAGAAATGGGTTTCTAAATTTAGCTTAGAGTGTAGAGGGCGCCCTTCTACACTTGGGAGAGGAATTTATATATAATCAGGTTTTGCTCTTAAAAGAATTTTTTAGTTATGGTCAGAATTTGAGAATGTAGATTGGAAATAAACTACAAATACTCATGGTTGTATGTTTATAAAATAAAAGTGTATAGCATACATCAATTAATAGTTTAAACATTTTCTTTAATATAGATTTCTATGATTTTTAAAACCTTAAAGTTAATAATATATTCTTCATTTTTACCAGAGTTCATTTTAAACATGTTTGTTTAGGTTTCACTGCAATCACAGCGACCAACCCCATTTGGCTTATAAAGACTCGGTTACAGCTTGATGCAAGGTATGTTAATTCATTAAAATAAAATTAAAGTTGATTTCAGCTAATTTTTTCCTGTAAATTTGTATCTATGAGATTTCAGTGCCATGTACCTAGCTATGTCTTTCCCCTCTTTATTTATTTATTTATTTATTTATTTATTTTTAAAGATTTTATTTATTTATTTGACAGATAGAGATCACAAGTAGGCAGAGAGAGAGGAGGAAGCAGGCTCCCTGCCGAGCAGAGAGCCCGACTCGAGGCTAGATCCCAGGACCCTGGGACCATGACTTGAGCTGAAGGCAGAGGCTTTAACCCACTGAGCCACCCAGGTGCCCCGTCTTTCCCCTCTTTTGATGCTGATTTTGTTTTTTGGGGTTTACCATCAAAAGCAAGTGATAACAATAGTTGGCAATGTGAGACTTTCTAGGGAAGAAAGAATATTATGTGTTGTGTTTTTAAATAAAAAGAATATATATTAGCCTAGCCCAAGCAGTGATAATTTCACTATGTGAATGATTTTAATTGGTCTCCCAACAGGTAAACAACCCACGATCAACTGGTCTAGATTAAATCTTGCAGGATCATTGCTCAAATTTGGTAAATTTTATATACAGAGAGGTGTGGCATAGGATTTAGCTCTCCTATATTTATAGACTTCATCTGTTATCGATGACCGTTCTGTGGTAGCAGAGTTCATTGATTTGATGAATGTCTATTGAGCAGATACACTGCTTGGTTCCAGAGATACACCAAGAAACAGTGGGACCAACTTTAAATGGAATAGTCAAGGAATTTTGTTTTTGAGCCCATTTTAGGCAGAAGCAGTGGTTGTTGCAAACCTCATAGTCTTAAGGTTAGGGCCTGGCGTGTTTGGGAACTGAGCAAGGGCCACAAGCCGTACAGCTTAGAGTCTAGCCATCTCTATTCCTGTTAGCCTGGAGAATGAAGAATGGGGAAGAGGAAATACTTTTTTAAAGAGATGATCCTATTGCTGTATTATAATAATAATAATAATTTGGAAACCTTTAGCCTTTTGGTATGGACTAGACTTGTAACAAATTTTCACTGATAATATATTTTAGGGCTTGGGAGGTAGTCTATGTATGTCATAGACTAAATAAAACTTATCTAAGAAATCATTAATAATGATGCCTATTGGGGACACCTGGGTGGTTCAATGGGTTGAAGCCTCTGCCTTTGGCTCGGGTCATGATCCCAGGGTCCTGGGATCGAGCCCCGTGTCGGGCTCTCTGCTTGGCGGGGAGTCTGCTTCCTCCTGTCTCTCTGTCTGCTTATGATCTCTGTCTGTCAAATAAATGGATGAAATCTTTAAAAAATAATAATAATGATGATGCCTGTTTAAATATCTGTTTCCCATATTTTGTCATGTTGAACTATATGCTATTTGGAGACTGGAAACATCTCTAATTCTTGTTTCATCCAGAATAATTAAAATCACATCTTAAGTGTCTCGAAGCAAAACTCAGTTTACTTCCTAAAGCCAAAGACCTGAAAGGTAGTGGTAGTTAAAACAACCCAAAGTTAGAGAAATGTGAGGATTCCAGTCCATATTATGCTACCAGGGGTATGCTTCGGTATGTTGTAGGGTGGATCTGTGGGGGTTCCCGAGAAAAGTATCTATTATTTTTTCACTTAAAGTTGTAACACAAGCAAACACAAGTTCTTAGGCTTGAGGAGTGATAGGGAATGGGATGGAGTTGAGGTAATAGTTAAAGGTTGGTTTAAGGGTGCTAATGTATAACCATGAAATCAAGAATAGGGCTGATGTGTTTGGATATTACACTTTAGGACTTGTAGGATTTTAACTTCTTGTGAGGAAGTCTCTGGTAGAAACTGATTAGAGTTGGTTTCATGGATCATTCAAAGAAGAAAGTTTTCAGTCAATGTCATTAGTTGAGGACAGTTATTAGTTCAAGACAATAATTAGGTCATAAAACTGGAGGAATTTGGGGCGCTTGGGTGGCTCAGTGGGTTAAAGCCTCTGCCTTCGGCTTGGGTCATGATCCCAGGGTCCTGGGATCGAACCCCGCGTCGGGGCTCTCTGCTCAGCCGGGAGCCTGCTTCCTCCTCTCTCTCTGCCTGCCTCTCTGCCTCCTTGTGATTTCTGTCTGTCAAATAAATAAATAAATCTTTAAAAAAAAAAACTGGAGGAATTTGTAGGTTATCAAAGGGGTTTTAATTGTGTTTTTGTTATGTCAGAAATAGGTTGTATATAATTTATAATTAGGTAAATTTTCTATTTCTTTCCTTGTAGGTAGCATTTAAACTCATTTCTTTTAGATAAGGTTCTGTTGGGAGAATCATAGTGTAAGGTAATATTTTTACAAACTCAAAATTATATACTTGTATAAGAGTAGGTACACTGCCCATATAGCGCTAAGCAAGTTTTACTGGGTACGATGCTCAATAAATATTTTATAACTGTAGGGGTCCACATTCACTGTTCGCCTTGATACCGACATGAAAGATAGGACTGTTGCCTTCAAAGGATTATAGGAAATTTGACTTAAATTCACACAGTCATTTTTGGGGAAGAACTGAGTGGGTTTGGAAGAATTCTGCAGATGCACAAGTATCGCATTAATTATATTCCCTGCTTTGTGAGGTACTATCATCATTAGTGTCTCAATCACTCTTTCATGTTACTAAGTGCAGAAGAAGTCTTCTCAACTTAGAACTGGATTTAATGACATAATGTGAGAGTTTGGTTTTATCTTGAGCTGCAGTCCCAATGTATTTGGACTATTTTATTTTTTATCCCTACAGTATAATGAGTACATGAAACTGAAGATTTAATGTAATGTATTTTGCATTAGTAAAATAAACTTCTTACATGGTACCCCTCTAATGTGACAAACTTGGGATAAAAGAATAAAGTCTAAAATGAATGTCTTAATATTCTGGCTTCACTTCTCCATGAGTTAGAGGATCATCCTCTATTTAGAGTGACATATTTCTACTGCATTTTATTGACTTTATTTAAAAACCTATACTACTTTGTAAACAAGATTTTTCCTTTTTGCTTTTCAGGAACCGTGGAGAAAAGCGAATGGGTGCTTTTGAATGTATTCGTAAAGTGTATCAGACAGATGGACTTAGAGGATTTTATAGGGGCATGTCTGCTTCATATGCTGGCATATCAGAGACGGTTATCCATTTTGTTATTTATGAAAGTATTAAGCAAAAACTACTGGAATATAAGATTGCTTCTACAATGGAAAATGAGGAAGAGTCTGTGAAAGAAGCGTCCGATTTTGTGGGAATGATGCTGGCTGCTGCCACCTCAAAAACTTGTGCCACAACTATAGCATATCCACATGGTAAGAGGAGTGGAGTTTCTATGAGTAAAATTCTGTTAATATACAAGTGTTTTCCCATGTCAGCCAATGACCCATTTATTAGAACATTTATAATTTTATTGAAATCAGTAAAACAAAATACAGTTCTTAGGAGTTCATAATGGGATTAAATCTGTGTAAGTAACTGGTTTAATAGGTCAGTATATATTACAGTAGTATAATGGAGATTTAGCATGCACTCTGGACCGTCACATTTTAGCCCTGAGTCAGTCAGATTCCAGCCAGGTGTTGTTTGAGCAAGTTTAAAAAAAAAAAAAAAAGGTATGGCTATAGATGGTATACTAGATACTTTATATACATTATTGCTAATCTACAAAAAATTCCTGCAAAGTACTTACCTTCTCCATTTAAGTCTAAGTATGCTAGAATATAACCAGAGTTTGTCTTCATTTTCAAATGGGAAACAAGAAATGTTAAGATTAAGTTGCCAAAGGTCACAGAGCTTACTCAGGTCACATAGTTTACTCAGTGGAGAAGCCCGAATTTGAAATGGGAATCTATAATCCAAAATGCCAGCCTATTTTACATTATTTCATGTTGGCAAATAAGTATATATGAATGATTTATTTCTGTCATTAAGTCTTATACTTTTAGCCTCTTTCATTGATAATAAAATCACTTAAAAATTTGTCTGCAGGATGCTGAGATTTTTTTGTAACTTGTTTTAAGTGTAGACTTTGATTTTGTTGTATTTAGGGTTTGTTTTGCCTTTTTTTTTTTTAAGATTTTATTTGTCAGAAAGAGAACAAGCAGGGGGAGCAGTAAGCAGACAGAGAAGCAGGCTTCGCATTGAGCAGGGAGCCCTGGTGCAGGACTCAGTCCCAGGACCCTGGGGTCACAACCTTAGCTGAAGGCAGGCTTTTAACTGACTGACTAAACCTCAGGGGTTTTAGGATTTTTTTTTTTCTTTCAAGTAATCTCTACACCCAGCATGGGACTTGAGATCAAGAATTGGATGCTACACTGACTGATCCATCAGGCGCCCCTACTTTGGGCTTTTAATCTAAATGCTTCACTTTTGTTACACTGATTAATATTCACATTCATCCTTGTAAGTCTAAGGCTCTGTGATTAAAGCTGTATCAAGACAAATGAAACAGGGCTAGGAGGAAATGAGTATTTGCTCTAAAATGTAATTTTATGAGTAAAACTAACTCTAACCAAGTTGGACTGTGAACTTAGCTCCACTTCTTGAGGGAAGTTCCTAACTTCTCTCTTTAGGAGAAGTCAAAAGAGGACAGTTATCAGCAGCATTGTTTAGATTCTGGCTACTATAGGATACCTAGAATTGTAAGAGACATTTTTGGAGTTGTAAGCATCCTGTCCCCTCAAGTGAGATGATGTCCTTACATGAAGGGGTAATTAATAATATTTTGGGAGGAATATATAAATGGTTTGAATTTTTAAGATAAGATACAAGAAATTTCAAATAGTAACATTTGCAGTGAAAATAGTTCTAGGCCATTTCCCTCAGGCCCAACAGGACTAGTGTGTTGGAAAAACAGACTCTTCAGTAGAGAGCTCTGAAAACTTGTCCCAGCCTCTACCCCCAATGACTAAAACCTCTCAACAGTCCAATTTCCTCACCTTTCAAAACTAAGAAATAATGGACTAACCATAATCTTTTATATCTCTTAGAGCTCTAAAATTTTACAAATTTTGCATAGTTGCTTCCCAGATGGGGCCTTTTAGCTTACAGCTGGTGTTTTGAACAATTTTAGGCTCATGCACATGAAATTTCATGTTTGTTTCATGTGGACCATTGTAAATATAGATTATTAATTCTGTTTTCTCATTGTGGGGTTCACCTAAGAGTTTTTGTGTTTATTTCTCATAGTATCTTTGTGTATTCATTTTTTTCTACCACCTGCATTCCCTTTTCTGTTTCTTCACCTTTTCCTATATATGTATTGTCCCTTTTAGCTATATCTAGTATACAACTGATACTTTTGTTTTATTCTTTAACCATTCAGGAACCTGTTAAATTTTTAATTAGTATTTATTATTAGTGATTTTAACCAGCTATCTTAGTTAGAAGTTGGGTGTTACTGTAATAAGACCAGTTTCAATAAGTTACACATTAAAAATCACTCTCATATTTATTCTGAGCTTACACTTGAAGAGTGGTAAATGGGATGTGCTCAGCATTAGGAGGGTATAAAGATAACACGAATGGGGGCACCTAAGTGGCTCAGTGGGTTAAAGCCTCTGCCTTCAGCTCAGGTCATGATCCCGGGGTCCTGGGATTGAGCCCCACATCGGGCTCTCTGCTCAGTAGGGAGCCTGCTCTCCCCCCCCCCACCCCCCCCTACCGCCTGCCTCTTGGCCCACTTGTGATCGTCTGTCAAATAAATAAATAATCTTTAAAAAAAAAAGATATCACAAATGTTTTAAAATGACTTTTTTCCCCCCCCTAAACAGAAGTTGTAAGAACAAGACTACGTGAAGAGGGAACAAAATACAGATCTTTTTTTCAGACACTATCTTTGGTTGTTCAAGAAGAAGGTTATGGGTCTCTTTACCGTGGTCTAACAACTCATCTGGTGAGACAGATTCCAAACACAGCCATTATGATGGCCACCTATGAATTGGTGGTCTACCTTCTCAATGGATAGCAACTTTAAGCTGCTGTACTATGAAGAGGGAAGACCAAAAGATTCCAGTGGACCGTGCAGTATCAAAGCCAGCATGGTGGACAGAAGTAAAACATTTGGGAACATGTAACTATGCCTAAATGGAAGTTTGGTTGTAGGAATTAAAGTAATCATAACCACATTACTTGGTTTTTTTCAGTAATATGAAGAAAAAAAACCTAGGCTGCCTCTAAGAAAAAAGCCTTTAGAAGCACTCCTTTCTCCAAATTGCCATTTTCTCTACCATGTCCACAGGACACAGTTGCATTTTGTTGATTTATGGCAGAGTACAGTATGTATTCCATGAGCACTTTTCCAGTCTTCTATACAAAGCCATCCCTAATTGTATAAATATTACAACTATCCAAAGATAGTATTGACAGTCATAAATGTCTTACCTCTGGCTTCTGTGTAATTCATGTAAAATTGTAAAATAACAAGAATAAGTGAGATTCTTAGTATTACTTTTCCATTTCCTTGAGAGGATCTGGAATATTTTAAAATTAATTATTTGGCATTAATAGTCACTAGTTTTGACAACTAATGAAATAATGTCAAAAGATCTTGCATATCTTTAGCTTTAAAATGTTTCGGTTTCCACTGCTAACAGGTGCTTGATGTTGAACATGATGTGGACACTTAAATTGTTCATTAACGTATCAAGCCCAGTGTAATAGTTTGGGACAAAAGAAACCAGTGAAATGTTGATTCTTGGCCCTTTGAGTAACTTGAGTACATCCTCATATCTTCTCTAACTTTACAATACATGAATGAATGCGGTTGTCTTGACAGTGACTTAGTAGTTACGAACTTGAATTATCATGTCATACCTAGATATTTTCTTAAAATGGAAAAAATTCACCGCTATTTAATCTTTCTCTGTTTGCCTTCACATTAGGAATTTGAACCATTGAATTATTTCCAGAAGATCAATATAGATTGCATTTGTTTTGTAGAGAAAATGGTAATTTTCAGCTTCGCCCTATTAGGTTTCTTTTTTTAAGGTGACATTATAAATATCTGGGGCAGTATAAACATAGAAGAGGGACCCTCTGCTGTCTAATTGAGCAGGTAGTGATTCTAATTGACCAGAGTTTTGTGAATGAACAAACTGCTTTTGAGAAGAAATTTTTGTTATCCTGATTTCTTGAATGGTAAATCATAGAAAGACTCAAATTAATTCAGATTAAGTTTCCTAACAGGATATAGCTTTTACATTTTGCTGTTGAGTTCAGCTGTACCTTTTAGTATCTAAATGTATATATGTATGGCCCTTCTGAAGATGTTTGCTGTAAATCTGTTAAGAGACTTGCTTATGGATGTTGCTATACTGGTATATAAAACATCTACAATTAAACTCCAGTGTGGTACTCATTTCAGTATAGATGAACTGTACATTTTGTGCAATGGCTTTATTTTAAGAATGACTTTGTGAATGCACTTTGTGGCCTTTTTTTGGAGAAGGGTGAGAGTAGAGTATTCCATGTTAAGACTTTTTTCTTTCTTTTTTTTTTTTTTTTTTTAAACATCGGTCATGTATTAGGCAGAAACCATGTTCAAAACATTTTTCTGGGTTTTAGATACGGTGTTTGGAGATCTTTAATAATATAAATGTTTTATGTATTCTGTGTATACTCTAATGACCCTAACACAGAAAATTGTAGCATGTCATTGCAAGCTTTCTCTGCTATCACCAGTGAAACACAGTGCCCTCTTAAATTCCTTCACCTTCTTAACTCCTTATAATCAACATAACTGGATGTTTTTGAGGTGCTTTGATTGGAATTAAAAAATATTCCAATCTCTTTGGAGACCAAAGGCAAATTCAGTTTCATTACCTTTGGGATTATCCGTACCTTTTATGGTGAATTTTAGCTTTGACATTTATTGTGAGAAACATGCCAAAAAAAAAAAAAATCTAGGGATTTCTAACTTAAATCTGTAGAGAAAGTCTCATAGTGTTTGCCTTTTCAGGTGCCACTTACACTGCCTAATACAGTGCCATTTGCCTTGCAAAGATTTGTAAACATTAGTTGTGTTGAATGTAAGACAGATTCTCCCTAATGGTAATGATTTCAGTATACCACAAATGATTAAGAATGATACGAAAACCAGCAGCTGTGGAACATCTTATTATTTAGTGCTAGCACATTCATAATAAGTGTCCTTCAAGGATGAACATGTATTCTTTTCTTGTTTGTATTTAGCAAGTAAAACTTATGTTGACCTTAGTGTATTATATTCAGATTTTAAAAGTGAGTATTCTCTGTGTACTGGAAGAAAAGATCTTAGAGTCTTAGATTTTGTTTCTTTGTGCAACAACTGGAAAGAAGCAGTGAAGCTTATTTTAGTTTTGTTTTTTTTTTCCCAAAGCACAATCTGCCATAGTTTACTTTATGTGACAGATAATTTAAAAAAGAAAACTATATAAAAGTTGTATATAAAGTTTGTCTCTGAAACATTTCTTTGGAGATTTTTTTTAATTGATGCAAATGTTTAAAAAGAAAAACACATACTTAAAGCATTGAATTTTTTTTAAAGCTGTGTTTTGTTACCTATTTTCTATCAGATGACTTTTTATTTCTAGTATAGAGATTGGCAGCACTCTTCAGATTTGTACTTTTATTACAGAATTTTATCAGGAAATTGAATTGAACTTACTCAAGTTAAAGCAGTAGATATTGAAAGAGTATGGTCATAGAGCATTAGATAGAACTTTGGTACTGGTGGCTCATAGACAGTGTACTAAATCTCAAAGTCCAGATCTGAGAATTACCAACCCTGTGACTGTGGGGTGGAATACAGTGCTTTTGAATCCAGGAGGGGGAAAGAAAAAGAAAAAAAAAACTATTACCAAAGCTTTGTCTTAATTTTCATTATGTATGTAATTTTGTGGACCCAGCATTACTAGTTGGAGGTCACTAGTAATTTATTTGTAATTTTGAAACCAGGATAGAATATGGTTAGATTATTTGATCCAGCCTTGTCTCCTAAAACCTAAGGCCCATTGTGGAATAGCATGACTGTATTAGGACCAGGGTGTTAAAAATAACGAGTGTTTATTCTTTTACTGGAGTATAAACATGTTGGCATTTTTAGATTTAAGTCACTAAAAATACTGATCTGAACTTAAAGGATTTAAGTGCTAGAAATCCGTCTGTCCTTTACTCTTCAGCATTGTTCATGCCTGTCTTTCATTGTTTACATGTTCTTCTGCCCAGACTATTAGTACTGTAGGGACCCCTTTTGGGCTGATAAATAAAATAGTTGAGCCTTTCTGTCTACTGATCATGACTTAAACATTCCTAAGAATAAAGGTATTTCTGAATGATACAAATTAGAAGGAATTTTAATTATATGAGAATATTTCATACAATGTGCTAACTTTCTGCCCACTCAGTTCTCTTCTCCATCATGCACTTATATTTCTTGTTAATCTATACACTGCTTTTTATGCTACTTCTTTTAGAAACTGAAAATTCTAGTTTCACTCATTTTTTTTGTTAATAAACAGTTGAATGTGTACCCCTCATATGTGAACAATTAAATTATGATCTATTAGTCATAGCTAAATAATCAACTTCAAAAGAGTTGATAACTTTTGACCATTTATGTGAGGTTTGCTATTCTCACATTTTGTGTACATGGCTGTAAATTATGTGCATTTATTCTATTTATGTTAACTAGCTGAATTTTATTTGAATTGTTAAAATTAAAAAATTAAAATATCCTTATGAAAATATGGGGGTTTTTTTCCTATAATGTATTCTAACATTTTGGTTTGGTGAGAATGTAATCACACTTTTTAGGATGAAGTGAAGAACAAAAGTGTATTGCCATTTTCAAGTTTAAGTGTTGGACTCCAATCTGCTAGACATAGTGATTTCTCTATAGGAAACAAAAGGTCAAATTATCTAATTCCCTCGTAAGTCAGTAAGATTCTTCTGTTCTGCCATATATTCCACAGGTTTATTGATAATTTAGGTACCATACTTTTCATGTATCAAAACATCCTATTTGAAAAGAATATCTGAAAAATTTGAGCCTAATGAGGTTATTTGATACCTCCTTAGGTTGAAATGATTTTTTTACATTTTACCTTACATCATTAGTTTTTGATGGAGTGTTCAACGATTCATTATTTGCATATAACACCCAGTGCTCATCGCAACGTGTGCCCTCCTCAATACCCATCACCCACTTACCCTTCCTCCCACCCCCCAGTTGTAATGATATTTTAACATCATGACTTCGTGTTAGTTTTTGTTTTCACCTTTCTGAAAGCTAAGAATATTAAAAGTTCAAACTTGTTAAAATGACCAAATGAGTCTTCATATAAATAGGTTGAAACAGTCGACAGATATAAGTGTTCTATAGTACTTACTCATTTTACATTTCTGTTTTATTGAAGTTTTCACAAGTTGTAGCTACCATGAAACATCACCTAGTTTTATAGGTGAGGAAACCAGGATAGATTTGTCATGTCCCTTTTCTCAAAACTGGAAGCTTTTGGACTACTTTCCACTGAAGACTGAAATAGTGGGTGAGGTGAGGACATTGGCAAAATAATGGTTGAAGTTGGTATGCTAAGCATATTTTACTGCTTAGTGTCCCAAGTTTAAATTGTGTGTGTGTGTGTGTGTGTGTGTGTGTGTGTGTGTGTGTGTGTGTGTATTACTGAATATTAGGATCCGTGGTAGAGGAGGGAATTTGTGAGTGTATGATTTCCTAAGGTTCAAGTATGAAGTCCACACAACTGATAAATTCGGGCAAGAAAGCAAAGTGTAGTTAAGTGATTTCCTTTATTCTCCTAATTTTTTTTTCCACATTGCACAAACCAGCTGGCTACCTTAATATATATGGAATCAGTTCAGTAATTTAAATTCATAGAATGCTATGTTTATACAGTGATTTCATGTGGTTTTCCAGCAACCCATAGATTGGGTGAATGGGCAAGTGATATTTAGAGGGGTATTAGTCACAGTGGGGTTTTTTTGACTTGGTGTTCTGAATCTTAATCCTGTGTTTATTTACTATACTAGATTATTCAGCAGCCTTTGGGATGAACACTAGAATGAGTAACAAAACAAAAGACAATTTAGATGAAAGATCTATGGGGATTGGCTCAGGATGAAACATGCTGGGGGATAATAAGAAATAGAGCTAGGGGGACGCCTGGGTGGCTCAGTTGGTTAAGCAGCTGCCTTTGGCTCAGGTCATGATCCCAGCATCCTGGGATCGAGTCCCACATCGGGTTCCTTGCTCTTCAGGGAACCTGCTTCTCCCTCTGCCTCTGCCTGCCATTCTGTCTGCCTGTGCTCGCTCTCTCTCCCCTCTCTCTCTCTGACAAATAAATAAATAAAATCTTTAAAAAAAAAAAAAGAAATAGAGCTAGGTACATGAATTGGAGTAGTGAACTGTTGTTGAAGCTGGTCTATATAGAGCCTTAGCTTACTTCTGAGGCCACGAGGGAAACACTGGATTCCCCCCCACCCCACCAAACATCTTTGTAACAACAAAGCAAGTCAAACCTAAACATTATGCTACTTTTGAGCCTCAGCAATGTCATATGTTCTCTGGAAGTGTTAAAGTGATTGATTCTTTTAGAAAGATCTGGAAAGGTTGGCTGGAGAAAACAGTATTTAAACCAAGCTTTGAAACAAACTTAACAGGCTGATTTGGGGAGGAGCATTCCTTGTTGAAACAAAGATTAAAGTGTTCTAGTAGCCCATTAGAGAAATAACCCATTTTCTTTTATTCTCTCTTGGGAGTTGATAGAAAAACTGTTTTGAGAGGTGCCTGTGTGACTTAACTGAGCATCAGACACTTGGTTTGGGCTTAGGTCATGATCTCGGGGTAATGGGATCAATCCCCCAGTCAGGCTCCACACTGGGTGTGGAACCTGCTTGGGATTCTCTCCCTTTTCCTCTCCCTCTTCACCAGCCCCTCCCTATGCTCATGCCTAGGTGTGCTCTCTCAAATAATTTTTTTAAAGTGTCTCGAGATTTTCAAACTAGTGGTAGACCTAGGATTCTAAACCTAGTCTCATTCAAAGTAGCTCAGCACATCCAGCTCAACAAAATTGAGTCCTGTTTTCTGTGTCCCAGTCCCTCCTACTTTCCAAAGCACCTCAATTCTTAAGTCTTCTAAATTGCCAAGGATAAAAGGCCCACTTTCGCTATTTCTGAATCTTACCTTTCAAGATTATCCAGTAAGATTGATACCCGTTGACTGAACTTACTCAGATGTTTTAGTGGTGTAGGTTATTTGATGTGAATTTTCCTAAGTCACATATTGACTTTTTCATTGTCCTGCCCCCCATAAGAGCAGCTGGACATCAGTAGGAAAAGTGAGCCCTTACCTCACCATACTCAAAACAATATGGGTCTAAAGATTAAAATTGCAAACCTTCTGGAAAAAAAAATACGTTTGCAAACTTGGAGTAGGCAGGGATTAGAGTCCACAGGAGGCACCAACCATTAAGAAAAAGCCCTCAAAATGAAAAACATCATTAAAATAAAAGTGCAGCCACAGTCTGCAAGAAAATATTTAAAATATATCTGATAGGATATGTCATGAAATATACATACAAACAGGTAATGATCTAAACACTTAAAAATAAGCATATGTAAAGATGCTTAACATGATTAGTAATACTAATTAGAACCACAAATAAGATAACACAACATAGCCAATACAATGACAAGCAGACACAATACCAAGGATGTAGAAACAACTAGGACCACCTACATTGCTGTTTAGAATGTGAAATGGTATAGCTACCTTGGAAAGATGAAGTTTTTAAGAAAAAAGTTTAAAATTATTTCTATGCTATAACCCAGAATTATAAAATTATTTCTATGCTATAACCCAGAATTACTACTGGTAGGGAAGGGGGAGGTGGGAATTGCCAAGAGAAATGAAAATCTCCAAAATTTTCATAGCTCTTTTATTTCTAAGGGTGGATAGCAAGGGAAAGTCGATTGTAAATCATGCAGTGAAATACTACATCATAAAACAAAAAGCAAAGTAGGAATTACAGATATGTGCAATAATGTAAATGAGTATTAAAGACATGTTAGATGAAAGAAGCCAGGCACAGAATAGTATACACTGTACTCCATTTATATAAAGGTCAAGAACAGGAAAACATAGCCAACTTGATAGAAGTCAAATTAGTGTGCCTGGAGTTGGAGAGAAGGGGTTGACTAGCAACCGGGCCTAGTGAAAGTTTCTGGAGTAATGGAAAAGTCCTACATGTTAATCTGGGCAGGGTTAAACAGGTGTGTACATAATGTGAAGATACATTATCTGTATATTTAAGATTTGTTCACTTCAAGCCTGTTTTTTTTTTTAAATCTAATGCAAAGTA